CTGCACCTGCCACACCGCGCGGCCACGGCAAAGCCCTGCGGCCCTACAACCCTGCCCAGAATCTCAACGGAGCTGGAACCCAAGGGACATACTCGCGCAATGCGGCAAGTTCACAGACGGTGTGATTGGCCCCGAGATGAAAGCTAGTCACACCCGCACCCGACTCCAAACTCCGAGAAAAACCTGAAAATCGCAGGACCCGGAGCAACTTCCAGAAAACAAGAAGGTGCTGCCTCAGCCTCGTACTGGCCCAGCAATGCCTGCACTCGCTCTGCTTGTCTCGTGTCATCAGACGGCGTTTGGCAATTAGCAAGGTTGTGCCAAGACAGTCGACATTCTTGTTGGCCGAATGGTCAGGCGCAGCTTTCAGCTTGCTGTACAGGAACAGCACGTCTTGCAACTTTGTGCAACTTCCTACTTCGCTCGCTCAGGCACCAGGCACGTGTGTTGATCAACTTGCAGGCACGAGCCTTACAGCATGGATGGGCGGCTGCCATGTTCCGCACACCAAGCGCGAGCCGTGGTGGCTTTCACTAGTTGAGTCCCCACCACCCTCTCCTCAAAAGGAAATTTTCCGTTTCAAACGATTCCTGTGTTTCCGCACACTTTCGAGCAAGTGAAGGCCAAGGCACCACGGCCTTGGATATGCCCGCCACAGCAGTGGCCTGTGCAGCAAGACATGTGTTCATGCGTGCCGTCCGACTCCCGGTGTTTGTGTGCAAGCCTGCACACAAGGGGCCGCCGCAAACAGGACAATCTGGTGAGCAGCACAGCTCACCCTTCTGCAGTCCTCCACCTTGCAGCACTTTTGTGCGCAAATTCCATTACTTACCTTGGAAGACTCCAAACACACCAGGCCAGATCAGGTGCTGTAGATGTCGGGTCGTGTAGAATTGACAGAGGAGACAGAAAAGAAGGAAGAGAAAAAGGAACATCTCACAAAAAAGATGCCAACTCTGATGAAAACGAAACAAACCCGGTGGTTCTGCATACTGGAGGCAGGCAAAGTCAGACATGCTGGGTGTGTTTTGAACCTGTGCAATGGCCTAGGCCATGTGACAGCAAGAACGATCGGACATTCTGGGCTCCGTATCTGTAAATCTGCCATCGTGTAGCTTCTAGCCGATTCTATCCGTCCAGACGCATCGGGTTGGAAGGTGGCTGAACTCCGGAAAGCTACTTCGCCAGAAAGGCAGAGTGCGTAAGCCCAGGCTACGAAACTGAAAGTCTGTACATGATCCTAAGCCTGCCCTGGACGCAGGTTGAAAGGCTGCTGGGCAAGAATCCAGGAGCTGAAAACAAGCTCGGATGCAAGGCCTGCTGCATGTTCCCTTGCTTGCATGATCGGTAGCGCACTACCGCCCTGCCCAGCTGCACTCTTGCAGAGATACAGATTGCTGCGTTCCAACTCGTCCCAGAATTCAGCCAACGACATGTCAGTCTGCTTGCACGGCCGAGCCACGGCACCAGCCACTCTCAACATCCTTGCTTACCTCGGGACCGAAGTTATGCTGAAGACTGTTGAAGATGTAGATCATGTACTGGACAAAATGCCCCCCCCTCTAAGGTGCGGATGTGGCACGGAGGCTCCAGAACTCCCGCCGACCCAGGGCCTTGTTATCAGGCAGCCAAGCAGTGAGGGGATTAAGAATGCCAAGGCGCACCTCAGATTCCACTGACAGTGAGGTATACCGTCGAAGTTGGCAGGGTCTGCCTGACGAGCTCAACAAAACCAGCTGCCGACTCCCGTTGCCGTGGCCGGTGAATTCTAAGCCTGGCCTCAAACTCAGGTTGCCCTGCTCGCAGCATCTGCAAATAGCCGGAGTGCTTTCTAAGGAAGGCAAACATTACCTTACGCGGCTTGTTGGGTAGCGCGCGGAACCACTCAGGCAGGTGATTGTGCCGCCCCGAGGCCCGACCACAGGGATGTGAGACATTGATGTGTCGCATCCTCGGCGCCGTTCTCTCACAGCTCAAGCACAAGACCCAATCCTTTAGCGGCCATGTCCATGCCGACCGGGCACAGCCAGGGAATACTTATCGGGCCGGCAGGTTGCTGTCCTGGTGGTTTGCGTGACCTGACACTTCCACCGAACGCCCAGAACTAGACATGGCTCTACGTCGCGAGAATGCAGTTCAGGCACGCGTTGTAGTTGTAGTTGCAAAACCTTATAGATAGTATCTGCAGCTGCTCTCAAACTCAATCATGTCTCGAGTTTGCCCAGCTGCAACAAACTGAGGAGGCAGCGTCCTGCTGTCTTTGGTGCCGATTTGACCCCAGTACGCTTCAAGCAGTTCATCGCTCCTCAGTCTCCCAATGTGTCAGCTTGTGTACATCTATACATATATGTGCGTATATGTGTATGTGTATATATATATATAGCTAGCACACACACACACACATCTCGCGGCTTTCAGATGTGGGCAAAGAATCAGATACAGCATCTCGCCCTGGAAGCGCTGCTTCAGCAGGTCGAAGGCATAGCTTCCACCACCTCTCTTGTACGGTCTGTGGAGGTTCTGCGCTAAGTCCTAAGTAGCAGGTGCCAGGATGCCCGAGCGGTGTTTCTGAAGCACACAGAATTCTGGCAGGCAAGCTGATGTATCCGGGCTTCAATTGACTAGACTCCACCCGGCTAGGCATTTTGCCGAAGATTCAGCCCGAATCGTGTTCAACCCGATTCGGCTGTTGGAGTAGAGGACCTGGGCACGGGCTCGAGGCGACACGTCGCGGAGTCTTTTCTCGCACTTTGCTGTTCCCGTCGGGCCAAGGTGCTCCTAGCTGAAGCGTCAGGATGGCACCGGACCAGCCAACTGCGTTCCTGCCACGATGAACAATAAATCGGAGGGTACTGCGCATCCGCCGGATGCACTTCCAGAAAGGGTTTGTCAGCTGTGGCAGGGCAAAGCGTGACCTTTTCAGGAAGTCGCAGTACGGCAACAAGGAGCCAAGAGTGTGGCCTTCGCTTTGTCTTTTGCCGACGATGCTCAATCAATGCCTAGACAAGGAAGCTCCTGCATGCGACTCTGGTGCGGTGGAAAGCCAAAGCGTTGTGGTCGACGTTGAAGAGCGAGCCCCGCGTCGTCTTGCCTCAGCAGTCCGAAGTAGTAAATCTGCGACCCGAATGTCTGCCGCGCACGTCATGCTCCTCATGTCACCCCAACTCCCTCAAGGAGGCGACCCCTTCCGAGCGAATGATAGTGCCGAGTCCGGGTGATGTAACCGATGGCCGGCAGCTCCTCCAGCAAGAACTTCTCGAACTTAGTCCATGAGCCTGCCTGCGGAACCATCGCCAGCATGTCATCATCAAGGAAAACGAAGTACCTCTCAGGAAGTCTGCTTTGTAAGAACAGTCTAGCCTGGATCCTGGGAGATAAACTTCCACAAAAAAGTATGAGTCCCCGTCGGCACCACCCGCATGTCCGCTACTCTGGATCATTCTTGCGTGGTGCGAGACGAGTTGACTCGAGTTTCTAAGCATGGTCCGTCAGTCGTGGCACAGGTATTAGTCGTGGCACAGGTAGCCAGGCCAGCACGGGCGGTGGCGACGCTGCAGAGCTGCCTCCAGAAGAAGGTTTCGACCCTCGCCCCACCAGGCCTTCCAGGCAAGATCAGGCAAAGAGCTGAGACAGCTGAGACGGCCCGGTACGGATCATCCGATACTGGCAACGTACCCACTTTCTTCAACAAACCAAAATTGCAGTGTGCCTGCGGTTCGTATAGCACGTCTGAGGTGGGGATGTCCTCGTACTCCCCATGGTATGGCTTGTCGAAAGATAGCCACAGAACGTCCCCTCAGCTGCAACGTTTTTTTGGAAGCCTGGCTGCGGCTACACGGCCTCCCAGCAACATCACGGAAGTGTACACAAAAGACACCGCATGCGCTGTGGGCGATGTGATGTCATTTGCAGGTAATGCAGCTGCACGGCTGCCCTGCAGCTTGGGAAACAAACCAAGTGCAGCCTCATTGCGATTCGAGCGATCTTGAAGCGGGGAGGTGTCCAGCACCAATGCACCGTGCAGCAGGTAAATGAACCTCGGCTAGGTGCCGTGGACTTGGGGAAGAATGCTACCCGGACAACAGGAAGTCTGCTTGGCTGGGAGCTGTGGCGAAGAACAGCTGCCGTTCCATTCCGTCAACACACAGTTGACTGTTGCAGGCAGCAGCCAGGCCCATGCAGCAACATGCATTTGCCATGGGACACGCAGGGATTATTTCGAAACTACTCGACCTGATTACGTGACTACGATGAGCAATATCAGGGATGCTAAGAGTGACCGGTACTTGGAGTGGCTTTCTTGCTGCTGTGTGCTGATCAGCGACAGACTCGGCTAATCCGTCCACTATCTGTCACATTTCTCTGGCTCTTTTGATTCTTGAGGGCAAAAAGAAAGGACTTCTCTGCTCATCCGTGGTGGCCGTGACGAGGAACCATCCGGCTTCAGCAGTTTCAGCATCGATAAAAGTGAAACAGTTTTGCTGTGGCACGAGAGTGTAGTGTGAGGGCTCGGAGGAGTCAAGCAGACGATCCCGGTATGGCTCTGCAGTCGTGGAGATCGAGCCTGTGCCGGCTGGCTGTGAGCGGCGGCGGCAGTGTGGCAGTTCCTCAGCGCACCTGCTTTCAACCGTCTGCGGAATCCTGCTCCTGTGTCAGCTGCTCTTTGACCTGATCTTAATCCTCAGATCAATGACCCCAGAAGCAAGGGTAACGCCAGCTTTGCCTTGCCATGCTAGGTACCAAGCAATCCGATCTGCTTAGATGCCAAACCGTTGTCTTTGATACCTATTGTTCGGCCAACCGCGTCAGGTGGCTTCGTCCACTCTGTGCTGTAAGTACAGCGTTCACAACTCTGCTCTCCAACCAGGGCCCTGGGAGTGAGGCCTTCCAGACGACCGAGCCCGCGTTGTGCCAGGCAGAGATGGAAGAATCCCGGCCCGCGAGCCTCAGGACGTGAAAAGCCCCACGAACCGCAAAACACGCTGCTTTTGCAAATAAGATCAGCCATCCGCGGAGTCCACTGCACCATCCCACGGCTGACCGGCCTTCAAAATTCTTCACGGCACAAGACCGCAGCACAAGCCTGCATAAACCAACTTGCTGGAAAGTATGTTTACGTAGTCACCGCCACCTTGCCATCAGATGCGGTGGGACCGCGGCCTCCAGCAACTTTGCGGCATCCACATGCCGTCCGGACCTGCATGCAGCATGCTTGAATCCCGATCTGCAGCCGCATCAATTGTATGTGCAATGGATCATCAGGTCCCACACTGTAGAAGCAGTCCACCATAGTTAGCATGAGCTTTTGCTAGCTCCGTCGCTGCCGGCTGGCACCCTTCCGCAGAAGCAGATCAAATCAGCCAGCACACGAGCTCCCCAACACGACTGGCATAACATGAGGTCCCTTAGCATCTATTTCCATGCCACTACTGTAAGCGAGTCAAGCCTTGCATAAAGTACTTCCCCACATATGCCTTGGCATCGTTCCACAGCGGCCTTCGGCAGTACACACAATAGATGTCGTAGGGTAAACGGTCTGAAGCGGGCCTTGGCCGACGCACAGGCCCTCCGGTACCTGACAGGACCCAGAGCTGGTGCTCATGCAGCAGCCGGCTCAGGTTGGAGCGCTTCAGGCGCGGACATCGCCTCTGCCTCAGCCGTTTCTTTGGACCTGGCATCAAAAAAGCTCTGCAGTATGCAGTCTTTCTTCCTGTCGCCGGGCCTGCAACTCAAAAGGTCACCCCCCACAACGGCGGTTCAACTGCTGATCTCCTAAGAGACTTTCCACTCTTGCTTGCAATGCCCCAACCCCCCGCCCCACATCGGGTGACGTCGGTTCCGCCATGCCGTGCCCCTGCACGTGCCGTAGCTGTGGCAAACCGGGGTCATCAGGCTGCTTCTGCACCTCTGGTCAGCTTGGCCCCTGCGTGTCCTCTGAAAAGGATGGGGTCAAGCAGCACATCCCTCCGAATTACCAAGATGCAAGAATCGATGACATTTGTCGGGCGCGCATTCCAGCCTGGCTGCGTCCTAATCCCGAAGTCCGTCCACTAACGCGCACGTCTCGCTCGGAAGAGTTACACTGAGCTAAGATAAGTGGAAGACATGATTCAGTCTTCCTGCCTTCCAAGGTGTGTGATCAGGCCGCTCGCTTGCTGTACGACCCTCTTGCTTGCTTTCTTGCTTGCTCGCTGGCTTGCTTGCTGGGGCATGGGGCTAAGGACCTCCGGTGCGCACGTCTGTCCCCAGCGCTCGCGGATACATCTCTTTCCGCGTTTCCGGGATGTCAGCAGAACAGGCTTGCAGTCCCGTGCTGTATAAACACCAGAATCACCAGCGTCACCTACGAGCTTAGCCCCACACTGATGCAGCAGGGTTGCCTCGGGGTGCTGGCCATAAATGAATATACAGCCGCACTAACGCTGGTGCTTTTGGACTCGCGCGATATTCAAGAGCAGGCCGCTGTGATCTGGTCCTCGGAAGCAAGGATCGGACCCAAGAAGCTCCATGTGCTTTGGGAGCCCGTGGGCACTGCGAATCCGCAGGGCATGAGAAAGCCTTAGCATGTCTCCAAGATCTGGACTCAGAACTCACGCACGCATATAAGCTCAAGCGGCAGAGCTTTGGCTTTCTGCAGCTTGCCACGCTTGAGCTCAAGAGTTCCAAAGTCCTGCGCGGGACGAAACGTCCGAGGTTCAAGAACACACGACATGAAGCGATCGGGTGGACTGCATAGGCCACACGTCCTTCAACGTGTTGAACCTCAGCCAAGCAGCAGAACCCGGATCCCGGCCCATGCCGTGAACTTCGACTTTCCGGGCCAATTGCTGGTTGGGCTGCTCGTGCAGGATAGCCTTGCCGGAACATGTGAGAGCAAAGCTCCGAAAGTCGAAATCCCATTGTGGATTCCAGGGCCTCGAAAAGAGATGAGGACCCGGAAGCCCAGTGACATGCAACCTGCAACATGCGAATGTGGCGTGACGCTGACGACGATTGTTCGGGGCCACATGTTTTGACACATGTGTTGCCAGGAAGTCAGTTTTCCAGTGCACTCGTCAGGACTGCTCTACCGACGTGTGCCCAAAAACGGTATTCCAGCACGCAGCCGAACAACCTACGACGATAAACAAAGGACGAAGGAAACGTCAGCCCGAATCCCTCCGTAACGAAACCTTTGAAACAGGGGTTCGTTACCACAACTGTAATCCAACTGTACAAAAAAGACTATACCCAACGCAAGCAATCGTGCGCAAACTTGAACTGTGAAAGAAGACCATACACTGAAACGCTCAGCTGCAAAGCCTGTCACTGTGAAGAAAGGCCCGCACCCAACCTCGATTGAGGATTTCGGAACCCGTTGGTGAAGCCTACACACCTGCTTGGCATGATCGGGTCACGCACGAATTCCTAACCCGAACTCTCGACAAAGAGCTGCCCCTAAAGCAGGAGATTCGATGCCTCAGTTGTATTGACGTTGTCGTTGTTGCTGTTGCTGTTGGTGGTGGTGTTGTTGTTGGTGGTGTTCTTTGTGGTTGACGTTGACGTTGTTGGTGGTGTTGTTGTTGTTGCTGCTGCTGCCGTTGCCATTGCTGCTCCTCCTATCCTCCTCTTCCTGCTCAACGTTCTCGTCGTCATAATCCCGTCGTCTCCCACTCCCTCTCCCTCTCCGTCACGCCAAGTCTTTCCTTGGTGCTGTTGTTACGATCGCGGTCGTCCTTGGTGTTGATGGTGGCACTGCTGCAACTGCTGCCGCGGTTGCTGTCCCTACGTTTGGTAACGGCAGTGGTGTTGCCGTTGCACATATCTGCAGGTCTTGCGTGCCCTACCTCATTGGCACGCCAAGCACAAGAGAGGAGGTACACGATCCCCAAGGCCTCAGCTGAACCCAGAGAACTTCGGCTGCATGCCTCCCAATCGACTGCATGTGCAAACGATGGCAATGCAGGCTCCCCGGATCTCCCGAGAATTCTGCCAGATGCCGGCACGACAGCTGTACATAGCTGTACCGTCGACGAACGACGCTCAAAACCGTTGCGCTCGAGATGCACTGCTCAGTAGGGTGCCACCGGCAAAGCCCTGCACTTCCACGCGCGTCCCTGCAAACCAGATCTGCTGCCATTCGCAGGCATACATTCTGAGAACATGAGACCTGAAAGGGCTGCAACGTACTGCCTGCCTCGCACAAACTTTGGAGCACGGCCGCTGTGCACGGCATGAGGATGCAGAGGGTCGGCAAGTACACCTTGCCCAAGTTCAAGCTCAGTAGTGGGAAGCAAGCCAGCAAATCATGCCACGTCTCTGTCCAGTTTCACTTCAAGCAACGGGTCCAAGAAGGCTAGGGGAGTTGCGTATCTGTCCGCGGCCAAGGCCCAAATCTTCGCACGACAAACATGGCAAGTCTGAAACAGTTTCGGATGCGAGATGCAGGAGAACACAAACCATGGGAGCATGACGCAGCATCACGTTTCTCAAACTGCAGCGCCCAGGCTTTGTCAGGCAACTGCCGCTGGTCGCTGTCGAGGTCTTCTGCCCACGGACAGCTCAAAACTGACACAGCGTCAGTTTTACTCAGACTCAATCTACACTATAACTGTCGACTACCTTTGTGAGCCAACTGTTTTTGACGGGCTTTGAGATCGAAGCCGACCCAGTTCCAGCTTGGCTAATTTGCTGCCACAGCTGCCACACCAGATCTTCGATCCATTTCTGTTGCTGGCACTGTGTGCCATCCTATGCTTGGCGTTTCGTGCTGGGTTTCCGCTCTAAGCACAATACTCAGCCTCAGGGCCAGCGAAACCCATGCACTTGTAGAGCTCGGCCTTGTTCGCGTCAGAGCAGCCCAGGCAGGATTTGGAACACCAGCTGCGAAGGCACTCAAACTTGCAATGGTCAAAACCATACTGGCCCGATTGCCCAAAACAGCTCGCACAGCCTGTTGTCAGCTTGGTCTGCCATTGCACGCAGTGGGTCATCGAGTCGCGACTAAAGCCAGACCAAATACTGAAGGCGTGGTGTCCACAGTCAGCCACAACCTTTGGGAAACTGCCTTCATCACTGCCAGTGCCGAGTTTCTGCATTGCTTCTGCATCTGCGGCGACACACTTTCCCGTGAAGTTGCTGACGTCCAAGTAGGAATACTTTCCCGCGGTCCTCTTAACCTTCCGCACCTGCTTGACCATTTCAAGAGTGCATGTCTCGTCACCCGGCTCCTCCACTTCAGCATGACATTCGGCAGAGGATAGCACGCACAAGGGAAGAACGAGGTAAAGACGTGCCAAAACCATTCCTCGGAATGAACAACAGCACAAACACTTCCATTCACGTGCTGCCTGTACGTAGATGCAGAAGGTATTATCCTCGATCACTCTGTGTTTCCGCTGTCCATCTATCTCTTTGTCGGCTCTGTGCCGGTAGGTTGCTGTGACTGCCTTACACATTGTCAAGAACACATCACACATTTACACGGTTGGAGACCTGTTGACCTATTCTCACCTGCCGACCCTCCAGATCGCTCTGGCACATTGCTTGGCACTGACACAAAGCATGTGCTGACAGGAATCCGGGCCAGGGCCAATCCAAATGAATGATGCGACAGCGCGAGAACTCGGACTGATAAGCCCACAAAGAGCTGCGGACATGGATGTGTAGCCAACGGAGCACCGACGCCTCCAAGCACATGCTTGAAGACATGCATTCGCTGCCTGCAGAGTCTAGTTCTGAGGCCCCCAGCATGGGTTGACACGAAGCCCAGTGACCTCAACAAGACAAGTGTACGACAGCGTTGGAGTCAACACAGCTCAGGCAAGACACTGCTCTCAGATGTGTTCCGATCATCAACAGCATGGTTTTTCTACTTGCTGGCGTCGCTTCGGGAGATTCTCGTCCACCAGACACAGGAGCACACTAGGCGGTACTGAGTACAAGACTTGCAGCAGCCACTTGCAGTATCAGGATGGGAACAAGTAGCAGGAGCGCTGATATGATTCTGAACACCTTGTCAATTGATGCCGCTTTTGCAGCTTCGGCCGATTTGGCGAAAGCTTTGAGAAGTGGTCTCTGCGCGTGAAGGCAATTTCGTTCACTCGCTCGCAGCCCAGCAACTTCGTAGCTGTAGCTGCATCCAATCGGACTTGCTTTTCTGACAAGCAGAAGCACTGGGCCAACGGGTCTGAGAAGGTATGGATAGATGCACTAGCTGGAGCAAGCAGACAGAGTTGCGCTATCAATGGCAATGTTGGAGACCTTCACCAGAGGCACACATGCTCCGAGCAGAAATTCAGTGCCCTATCTACAATTGACGTGCAGGAGCAGTCCGCTTGTTTCAGTGGGCCACTCGCAACACTCCGCGATGGCAATGTGCGAAGGTGTGCTCAGACCTGTCGAGCTGCAGCACATGTTCTTGAACCCCGTGCGTAGATGCAGTGATAGATCCGCAGACTCCCAGAGACCCAGGAGCAGATGGGCATCGCAACTTCCTGCCTCGCCGCAGCACAGTCACTGAAAGCCTCCGGCAGGCTGCCGGCCGTGGAGTGGAACTCACCCGTTGGTGCAGTGGATGGCGGAGTCGGACCGTCCTGCATCGCATCGCATCCAAGTCCGAGCATGCCGAGCGTGCATCTGCAGTAAAGGTGCCTTCGTGTCGACGCCAGCGAAGTTCGGCCTTGGAGCTTGGACTTTCGGAGTTCGCGAGCGTTCGCAAGCGCTCGGGGGTCATGTCCGGATGTGCCCAGCTTGGCAAGCTGCGGGCTGCACGGCTGTCGCGGGGCAGAGCCCGGTCGCTTGGCGCCTTCCGATGGTGGAGGCGCCATGCTAATCCCCGCACCTTCAGCATTCAAGCGCTCGTAACACCGCTTTTTGTTGACCGGTTTAGGCCACATCTGATCTTACATCTCTCTACCACAACCCCAGATACACTAACGAGCCTTTTGCTTCGTCCCAATGTCCCGGGAAGAGGCCGGGCCGCCACGGATCTGTTGCTGGCCGAATTACACGCACGAGGTTGCAGCTTGCAGCTGGGCGTGGATTGCCCCAATTTATTTTCAGAACTTCCAGCGGGATTTGCAAGTGTTCTGTCCTGAAAGGCTGGCCTATCTGCACAAGCCATCTGCACACCAGACAGACATGCAAACCCGGAGCAATATCAAAAACATGTAGCAGATTACGCATCTATCTCCGTCAGAGCTTTCAAAGGCGGATGTGGAAGTGCAGGCGTCTCTGCATTGCCATCATGCTCACCCGCGCCGATTGCGAAGCCAGCATTGAACTTCAAGTATTTCGGCAACAGGCACAGAAGCCCTCTCGTTCGGCAACACAGGTTCGGAGCCACTCGGTGGTCATAGGCCTGAGGGGCTTGTGCATCTGGGAATAGCGAACACTTCTTGTAGCAGAGCCCAGCGAATAGCTCCTCATCTGTGAGGCAAGCTCCCTCAAAGTTCGGGCATCCAAGTCCCTCCCGATCTCCGGCTATATCAAAGCCAGAACAGAAATTCAGGTGGATCTTCGTATTGCTGAGCCGACAAGGCTCTGCCTCACAGCAAGAGAAAGGACTATTGCGAATGGGAAAATATCCAGCTGTGAGATCGCTGCACTTTTTGTAACATGTGCCACCGAATGGAGGGAACTCCTCCTCATCCCTTGCACACTTGTTTCCGTCACGTAAGGCCTCGGGCGGAGCCAAAGGGCTGTGCAGAGGCAAGCGAGCATCGACGCCAGACGGGAGTGACGCAGGCACCGGAGTGGTCAACTTGGTCGGCGGCTTGCTGTCCGTACTCATGAAGTTGCCCAGCATATGGGCAATGCTCTTTAGAGCTTTATGCTCCATGCTGACTGGATTCAGCTTCTCTGCTTCTTCCCTAAACTCCTTGGCAACGCCGCTAAGGGTATAGGAGCGAACTACAGTCGTTCTGTCTGGAAATCGAGGCTTCGCAGGCAAGAAATGTGGTGGTGTCGTGGAGCTGCGCTGGACTTTCGACATTGCCGTCGCAGAATTTTGTGCCACAGTGGTGGTCACGGCAGGGCTATTTTGTAGTTCCACCATCCCCTGGGTGTTCGCACGATCCATTCCATCACTGCCCGCCCGACGTGCCGGCAGTCCCAAGGCCACGCAGGCAGCCGCCGCCACAAGCACCACCGAAAGAGCCCCAACTGCTCGGTGCCATCCGCAGGGCCTGCCATGCTGAAATTCAGGTGGGAAGCGCTCATGTGTTCCCAGGTTTTCCTCCTCATCGGTCAGGCAGTCTTCCACGCACTCTACCTTCAAGTACATTTTGCAGCAGAGACACCCAGGCCAGGCCAGATTGCACGACGCCGTCACCCGCTGGAATTTTGAGCAACTCTCCACGCCAAATGCAAGCGAACGGAAGCAATTACTCCGTTAGGGGCTACTTCGCTTATCCTTACTTCAAGAGTCACTGCAACCAGCACGGCAGGCCACTGAGGCTAGCACTATCACACTGGCCCAGGAGTGCGATCCTGGACCGCATGGGGGCGGGTTTGGAAGGCGCAGCGGGCTCTAGCATTCTTCAGTCTGAGCGCAAGGCTGATCTACGTCGGCCTCTCCAAGGCCATCCTTCAGAAGGAGTTCCAAGGGGGCCGTCGCAGGGAGTTCCTCCAGAAGTACGAGTTCTGCGCTCTCTTTCTTGTATTTGAAATTCTGCTTGGTGCCTTGTCGTAGCATGCACTGGACATCTGAGAGACCACCTGGCAGAAGTCACATGCTTCGGCAGTGACGAAGCTGTACTCTTTGCATTGCGATTCATTTCCCCGCCTGAGCATTGCCGCCTGTGTGAAGCTTGGGCAAGGTGACCATGGCCGCGGGGGCTGCCATGTCCTCCGGACATCACACGCTTCTTTGAAAAAATGCCGCCAGAAAACAAGACCTGGAAACCTGCAACGTCGATGAGAGTGAGAGCGGCTCTCCTGACTGACACTTGCCTTTTCACTGGCCAGGTTTTGGGGCCTTGCCATATCGGTCCAGTTGCATCTGTCAACACTCTGTGCCAACGCATTAAGTCAGGAAAACAGTTCGGGTTCCCAACGCCGCTTCGCTCGAATGCAGCGGCCGTCTTGACCGAGCAAGTCGAGAAGGGTTGCCTTGGAAAGCAACAGAGTGGCCGTCCGTCCAAGTCAATAAGATCACTCCTTTGCAATCGATTTCGCCGGAGCCACTTATGGCCAACTGCGCTGCAACCATCTGGCGACGCTTTTCCAAAGGATTGAGGGCATGTCCTGCGCGTAGAGAGCCCAGCATGTTCTAAAGTTCCTTCACTCAGTCCATGGCATCGGGTCAGCCTGATGAAGGTGGCAGAGGAGGCGGTACCGGAACCAAGGCTCTCTTCGGAGCTTCGGCGAAATATCCGCTGCTTGTGCTGGGTGGCCTCGGCATGAAGCGCAGCTCTTCTGCGCACGCATTTCGATACATCCCTTATAGAGAACCGAGAGAGAAGCTTTCTGGCAGATCGAGCCAGCTGCCCTGCAGAAGCAACGTGTGCTACGCACTTCTCTCATGCCGTAAAGCCATTTTTTGACGTTGTCTCGACATAATGATCGGGCCTGCGCGCTTCTGCGCGATTCTGGCCAAGCTGTGCCGGATCGCTCGCTGCCTTGTTTGGTGAATGCGGATGCGTATATTGTGGGAAATACCTGTGCCCCCTTCAAGCCCCACGTTTCAGATGGTGGATCAAGCCGAGGGACACAACACAGGCTGCAGAACGTTGCCGAAGTGCAGAGAGCTGCCCTGAAAGTTCGTCAACTAACGCCTGCGAGCACAGGCGCAGAGTCAGCTTCTCTTTGCTTTCTCACTGAGCTCGGCACGTTGAAAGGAACCCATGGCTTTGCTGGCTGCTCCAGGAGGCTGGCGAGCACGCGCTGGGCGTTCTGCAAGGTCAGCTCATACCTCGCCACGTCGTTGGACGAGGGCCGCCGTGCGGGAGAAGCAGGAAGGGCTTCTATCAAGACTCAAGACAAGGTGCTGCTTCAATGGCAGCCGAGAGCTCTGCATGGCGCTGGCTGTAGGATTGCTTAAGCCGAGAAATCCGGAAGGGAATGAAATGAATGGAATGCCATCATCATAGACCCCGGCTTCCAGGCAAATCTGCAGATCGGGGGACAAGTTGCATGCCACAATCAACCTACACATCGCGAACCTGTGGAGGGGGGAGAGGAATCCTTGGGCACCCGCGGAAGCAGCAATGCAAGGTAGGTTGCCCAAGCCTGGCGGCCGGCTTTGAGCCAAAAGCCAAAGCCAGACCCCATTGACCCCCCGCTGGGCCCGGGAGGGGATCTCTCTTTGGCCATGGAGCCAGGCATAGTGCACGGCAGCTCCAGCTTCTGGCCTTGGGACTTGGGACTCCTTGGGACTCTCCAATCTCTCTGCGGCTCTACCAGCCCCACTCAGTGCAGCCCGGGTGCCCCTAGAGCCTCGAGAGCTGCGAAGCATGCGATGAAGACCAACGTCGCTGCCAGGAACGCCAAGGCCGATGCAAATTGAAAGTCGGCCTGAACTTGCAAGGAGGGTAGGAGAACGGTCTCCCTGAAGCTCCATACTTGGAGCCAAGCAAGTTCAAGCTTCTCCGGCAAGTCATAGCGGGGCCTGGGAACACAAAACCGCTGTTTAGACTTTTTCATGCAGTTGCCCCCGAACACGATGAACCTCACTCTCTACAATACGCAAATGTCTCCATCTCCAGATTGCCAGCTTTGGACCACACGAAAAAATACTGACAGAAAGCACCGGGCGTAGTCCATGTCCACGGAGGGGCCTGAATCAGGTACAGTACATGCTGAAGCTGCTGCTGTCGTGTTGAACTCTGAGCCGAAGGCAAACGTTTTCCAAAGGTAGAAACAAGGCGCATACGAGGCCCGGAGCCTAAGTCGACAGGGCAGCACGACAAACTTGTTGTTGGTGTGGGACCCTCACACTGTCTCCAGGCTGTTCAGTGGCCGAGCCTCAGGCGCTTCATGGGTTGCAAAATGCACCGATTCGCAGTGTGCCAAAGAAGCAGACATGGTGCTGCCCGTTCACGCTGCAGCTAAGCATCCAACGTCTGCATGCGCGCCACTTGCGGCCACCACGGCCATCACCGCCTGAGGTCTATGTAGAGCCTCTCTACTGCAACTCTGGAGTGGCTGAGGCAGTGACGGCACCAACTGCTTGAGGCACATAAGGCCAGAGGTTCGCGGCCGCCCCTGATTCTGAGGGTCCGAGAAGCTGCTGCCCGGAACCGCTACCACTTGCAGTTGTTGCCACGAACTGAGAGATTCCGGTCGCAGCTGTGATCTTGAGCGCGGGGCTCGCAGCCGCCAAAACCTGGCAGCTCTCACCCCATCTGCTCGGATCACTGGATGTGCAGCCTCATGTTGCTGTTGACAGGCATCCTGAGCTTCCTGAGTCTTCGGCCATCGGATCTTCGTCAAACAGGAGCTCCCAGGCCTGAGGATTGGCACGGTCGGCGCTGACTCTGACTCTGGCGCATTCTCGCACCCGGGCGACGGGCAAAAAGGGCACACGGAAAAGTGACTGCAGAGGCCTTGGAGCAAACGGCCAGGCCTCAAAGCGGCTGAGACTGGCTGCTGACAGATGCAAATCGTCCTCACCGCCGACAACACCAAAAAGGACTCAGACACGAACCGAACAAAAGAGCACCACTGTACCGCAGCCCCCAGATGTAGAAGCCTGTAGCAGAAGATAGTTTCTAGCTTGCATTGCTCCGCACATGTCATGCTTCCGGGGCTGCTTCTCTAGGCCGCCAGCGTAGGCAAAGCAAGCCTCGTCCACCGAACGAGAGAGAGTGGCCATGTGACAGATCAATGCAATCATCTACGTACCGAGGCTCAGACAGAATATCGAAGCCAGTAAGTACCCATGGCAGGACGACCAGCAAACCTCAATCATCGGTGCATCTAGCAGGCTCCTTGATGTTTTCTGTTGGTTGGCCGAGTGCTCGGTGTCAACATCGCATCTGCCATAAAGAATGGCAGAACAGCTGAGCGTTCGACCACCTCGGCGCGCATTGGATGCGCGGCAACAAGAGCCTGCCAGATGTGAACACAAGCTCAAGACTCCCCGCTCACATCGCAACCCCGCCGCTGCAGCAGCTGAAAATATCCAGGCAGAAGAACCCGACTTTCGGCACAGGCGGCATAGCACCTGCATGTAGTGCACTTCCATCGGAGGGGGCGAGAGAGGCAGCGGCTCTGCAGGACCAGCTCTGCATTCGCACTGGCCAGCACAACAACCAGGCCATGTAGCAGCCTCAACCACGGCATGGTGCGGAGATATTTCTCAATGCTATGGTACAGTTGATATTGGGTGCGAGGCATGCCCGAGACCGCAAACCTGGATGCTTTGACAACTAACCAGTGGGCTCGCCATGCTGTGACCGCAGAGATACTTTTTCTAGGATCAGCGCACTCTGGCAGAAAGGCCGACATAGCGGGCAAGGAAGACTCGATACCTCACCGAACGCTCAGAGACACCCCGGAAGCCTTGACTCGCCCTGACTCGCCCACTGCTATCGCCATGAGCAAAGCGGAGCTCTGTGGCCCCAGCAGGAAGGTCACCGGTTCGTAAACCTCTGCAGCGCGACCGCAACCTACTGTACGAAGTCCCACGCTGCCGCCATTGATGAAATTGGCTTGGGCTCCTCGCTCCCAAACCTCGGACAAAGGGAGCGGACCCCGAGCCCCGAGTTGCAGAGATATTTATCGCAATGCTCCAATCGAGAATTGCCCGTGACCCCGACAACTACCTGCAAGCACGATGAAAGCTCCGAACACAGCATGACAGCCTGAAGGTTCCTTTCTTATCCATCCGACTCAGTGTGGCCCACCAAGCCCAGCAAAAGCAATATCATCGGACCCGTCTACCTCATCCAACCCACCCCCTCAATGCTCCACTCATCTCTTTCGATTTTTTGGTGATCGAGTGCAAGCGCCATTGGGCGCATCTCGCAACAAAATTGCAGAATAAGAGGGTTGGCAGCGCATGCTAACGTCATCCTTCAGCTTCAACTAGCCACATTTCTGCCAATCCTTCAAAGACGTCGGCAGACGTGGAAAATGCTCGAAGCTGCACCTCCTAGTCGTGAGGTTTCCAGGTACAGGCACCTCTGGTTCATCAAGATCAATGCTCCGAAGTCCTCCTCAAGCATCTGAAAATACCTGAACCCCACAAAGCAACAGCCCACCTGACCGCTGCAACAACGCTCTCTGTCGCTGTCCGCGCGGTGGGTGCCGGGCGCAACTAGAGCGTGAGGCTTGGCTCATGGAGAGCAACCTATTTCTTCGGCTATGTTGCTGTACATCGAAAACGCATGATTTGTGATACGAATCGCAGGGGCTACCGGGCTACCGATCAGCGGCCCGGAGCGCTCTGAAGCTGCCTTTGTGCAGCAGCGCACCTCCAAGTCCAGCTTCGATGACTCTGCGCCTGGAATTGAAGCGCTGCTGACAAGATGCTGTCAAGGGATGTGTCAAGCTTCACATCGTCTTAAGCTTTCTGCTATAGATTCTACAATCTACAAGCTTCAACATGGGCAGCACTTCGACTGCGAGCGAGTGGCATGATTTCGAGGAAATCCAAAAAGTCCACACCGGTCTCCTCTGACGACTTTGGTCCCTGGAATCCCTCAGAAGCAAGACTCTTTGCATATCTTCACTACCATGCAATCGCCAAGTGGCAGAAAACACCAAGTGACGACGAGCGACCATGGTCGGGGTAAAGCTCTGCGATTCTTCAGGTCTCTTCAAAGTGAAGCTGCACGACTGCGTGGGTGCCGCACCTAATTAAGCTACGCACCCAAGCGATTGCCAAGCACAGCCTGAATGCTCGGACAAGGCTGCGCCACTTCTTAGGCAAAGGCTGCGGCTCTTCGATGGGACAGGCTTTGCGCTGAGCAGAAAGCATTCATGCAGCTGGTGGCACCTACAGATCTTTCCCACATGCACGGCCGGCTACTTCCTGTGGCGGGGACGGGAGTTGCTTCCGAAGGAACTCGCGTTCTGAAATGTCGAAACATTGCTGGAACAACGTGACGAGGTCCTCGGTTCACTTCAACCCTTGCACAGGAAAGGCAAACTGAGCTGTCCTCTGCACAATGCGCAGTCGCACACTTGGAGCACTTGCTGTGGAGCATATGGCTAGCTTGCCGTGCAGTCACTTCACTTGATAACTTTCGCTGGGCTTCTTCGGAAGCGGACCTTGTTACATCAGTCGGCATGTCTTGCAGTCTTTCTACAGTCCAAGTGGGGTGACTAGTGACTAGTGCTGTTGGTCAGAGGAAAGAGCAGGGATCCATAACAGTCCGCCAAGCAGCAGAAAAACGGACAGAAACTCGGATGCTTCGCGAAAGCTAAACTCCAGGCGCCGTATGGTCTCTGCATAGACCAGACCTTTGCGATCAGCCCATTTATGATACGCGAGACGGGCAACAGTGGAAGCTCCAAGGAACACTGGAAGGAACCACGGAGCAGCAAGAGTGAGAACTAGAGTAACTAGAGCAGGACGAAGGAAGCGACAGCGGCTGCTGTACTGTAGCCGGGACAGCTAGGGTGGCTGCACTGGTGCTTCTCCGTCTCATCCCGGATTGTGCGGATCAGCTGCAGGAAATCCATGTACTTGACCGCTTGCCTCTCGTCGAGCTTCACCTCTTTCAGTAGTCGGACCTCAAGCTTGCGTATCCACGATTCTGTGCAAACAAAGTTATAGGAGTTTGGGAGTGGGTAGCGCAGCCTTGAATTTGCGTAGCCATGATCCAAGCAAACAAACCGCTGCGTCCCTGGAAATCCCTGCACAGGACCCGACATGGCGACTAGTCGTTCACTCGTTTTGTGCTGAGGCGGATGTCAAGTCGTCTGGTCGGCAAAGCCAACAATTATTTGCACGAGCATGAACGGAATGAACGCCGGCGCTGTTGTGCTGCCAGGCTGCAAGAAAAATGCTGTGTTCACAGTCCCTTTAGCAATCCCTTCAGCAATTTTGGAACGGGGGGCTGCCAGTGATCAAACACTGACACTGCCACACCCTTATCCATCATCCCTGCCGTGTTTGATGTGAAAACAAGCATCTCGTTTGCCGATGTGGGAATTGGAACGCCCCTCCCTTCATCCGCTCGAGCATGCAGACTGTGCACGTATGTGCCCAGAGGCAAGGCGACGATGAAGTCCATGACAGTGCCGTTTGAAGCCCAGAATATGTTGTAGTGAGTAACATCGGATTCGTCCTGGGCTGGTCCGATCTGTACGTCGCCCATCACAAAGCCTTGCGTCGGGTCGTGGTCGGTGAAAGCGATCCAGCCTGCCTTGTGCTCCGGGACTCTGCTGAAGCCGCGCCGCCCTGCGCTCATGCCACCCAAGGAGTTCGTAAGTTCATCAATCGCAAGGAGAGGATTCTGTTGTGCTGCTTGGCGGCGGGCCCAGAGAAGATCTTCCGTTGACAACTGCACGTATCTTTGCTGGAAGGGCCGATTTCGGGGATTCCTGTTCTCTCCAGGTGTGCTCTCCTGTTCTTGCCGGTCGGCACGCTGTAGGGTAAGTCCAAGCTGCAAGAGACGAAGTTCGGTCCCCGCGGAGGTTTCCTCTGCTTGGAAACCTTCAAGGATGTCGGGCACACATGTTTCGGCAAAGAATGGGCATCGCTCGTCCAGAGAGTTCCCCACCCAGGAGGAGCACGCGAAATATAGCCACAGCGAAAGGTTGAACCGCTGGACCAAATTCATGCAGCCAAAAGCGGCCACACCGAGAACATGAATTAGGTTTGGTTACCGAAAGGCCCTGCATGGGCACCTTGAGCCCGAATTTCAAGATAAGCCTCTCCAGGTCCCGGAGTAGGGAAAGCCTCCTGATCAAGCGGAGTAACGGATTGCAGCTTCTGAATAAGTCAGGCAACCAGGATCGGGCGGAACTCCGGAGAGTGCGCATAGACCGGGAAGAGCACCTCCACGAGGCGCGGCAGCTCGTGCCTCGGATGCTCGAAAAACTCGCCCACGGTACACTGCCAGCAAGCACCGGAGAGACTTTGTGTTGGCAAAGCCTGAAGCAAACCCAGTACATATATGCAGCGTGCCTCTTCAGCTCACTTGAGCCGTCCTTAGCAACCCGGTCGAATTCCATCCTGGCAGTCCGTGACCGTTTACTGCTCGCATATGCTGGATTGCCACATGCTCATGTGTTCAAATTTTCGTCCTCAAGTTTCCAAGCTCTGTCGGCGAGAAGTTGAAGTATGTGCGCAAGCACCGCAGTCTCTCCTTCTCCAGGCGTGCCACCAATAGCCTGAGCCACACTGAAGTCTGTGGAGTTGACGTAAGACGGACATCCAAGGCACAAGAAGTCGTTGAGATCCATGCTAACCTGTTGAACAAGGACACTTTCAGTGTGTGCCAGCATGAATAGAAGTAAGCGAAGGGACATATTGTCTCGGCAACACAGCTCAAACAAGGAGCCCGCGAATTCTCTGGCAGTTTGACCCCCTCGAACCCCAGCTGCTGTAAAGCAAGGGCTGCAGCATGGTCGTCGAGCAGCCCTGCATTCCTAATTCGGTGCACTTCTGATCACGTGCATTGCCGCAGCATGTACACATGCCAGCCAGTTGTCCTCGTATCTGCGGCATTGAAAGCAGCCACAGAAGCTCCACGTTCAAAGTCTCGGCATTTTCGCACCAGCTTCACAAACCTGAGATGGAGATTGCAACAATTACATGTTAATTAAATCTGAAAACTAGATCACTTTCATGGAGATGCTGCTCGATCCCTTCACTGTTCGCTCTGTCTATTCCCGTCAGATGCCTCCCCACACAAGCATCCTCTCTCACGCTTGGCTAGAAAGGGATGGCCCGCCTCAGCCACTCCCGTGCGCGCACGCATGCAGCTCCTTTACTTTCACCATAGTCCTCTCTCTGTCTCGGGATTTGGAGTCTGGTCAGGCCTCCCTCGCTTCAGGCTCACCTATTCGCACACGGGCTTTGTGGAGAGGTGAGAGCAACTACGCATTCCCCGCCAGTAAGGCAAAACTCTTTGTCTCGCTCGTCTCTAGAGCCTAGTCACCCGGAATGCAAAACCTACACGGCGACATATCAACTTTGGTTTGCTTTGGGGATCCCTGATTCTCAGTGAGAGCCCAGCTAGAAGAGCAGGTTGGAGCTTCATTCAGGGGGTGTTTGCTGTTGACTTGAGCAGCCACCGGTACTAATTGACGACGGTATCGTTTGTCGTTGTTATCGTTCCCTATGCAACACCAGCTATTTCGCGACAGTGAAACAGGTGAAGACATGACTAAACGAAGAAGCGCACGGTTGTTGTTGATATTACCGATATAACCATTGGGAGGCAGAGCTATACCATCAGCGCGGCAGTCGTTCGGCCACGGAACGTTGTGAAGTCCAGGCATTGGCTGCCTTCAGGATCCACCTTGCGCTTGCCGTTCTCTTTAGCCGAATCAAATCTGAAGAATGAGCCACTCAAGCACCGTTCAGTTCAGGAGACACCGTTGCTGGAACGGTTTCGGACACTGGCCAAGCCTCGTAGATCAGCTGCTGTAGGCGCTCGAAAGAATGGCAGTGCCCGAGCCAGCGCAGAGTCTGCCAGAATCAGCCAAGTGCTCAACCCAAGAGGAGATTCAAGTGCTGGGACACGAATTTCCCCAAATTTGTGCAATTCAGAACTGTTAACGACTCCGGAAAAGGCAGCAAGCCGGGGCAAGCCATCACAGTAGCACAAAGTTTCGAACGCTTTTGGCGCTCGGACTCAAAAGGATGACAGCAAAAGGCCATTCCTTCAGCTTAACCGCAAGAATTATGAGCACAGTGTCTCGGCAATCGAACGGCGGAGGCAGGAAAGTCCGAGGGGGTATTAAAAGAGAGCGGCCTGCCATGGGGCCTGGGTTTTTGAGTATTGTGTTTCTTTGTGTCATATGAAATTATGCTATGCACGATTACATTTATGCATGTTACTGTTCACGAAGGTGTAGCATTATCATGCTGCGTATGTACATGCATATACACATGAATGCACAGGCATGTACGTTCTTGCAGTTACACATGCAAGCAAGCGTAAATACATAGGCCCGTACATGTGTTTGCTGTGTGT